AGGAGCCTTGGAATCCAAAGGCTTCGTAGTGACTTTACGAGATGGAGTTATGAAGGCTACATCCGGCTTGCTCGTGGTGATGAAAGGCATCAGGAGGAATAATTTGTATTACTATGAAGGCGATATAGTTGTTGGGACAACAACAGTAGCAGATTCCACCAACAAGGAGTCTGAAGCAGTCAAGTTGTGGCTCTGATACCACTGTTGGGTTCGCCTGTACCGTACGAGCTATACGCAGCGGAATTTAAAATTTTTCAAAACAAGTATTTAACATTTAAATACTTTACTCGTACATACATATAGCGAATTAACAGATCTTCATCTTTAATAACATGTAATAGTTGTAAGTAAATTCTAAATTTACCTTAATCTTGAACTCCTTCAAAATTGTCGATGAATGAGGGAATCGATTCCCAGTTTGTAACAGCAACACCTTTTGGTTACTCGCTCAGGAATCCAATTGTCTTCCCTCTAAACGTATCCACCTTTTGAAATCCGGTTCCGATAACCTCTTTCTTCGCTAGTAGAAAAGTATCGGTTTTATAGAATGGAATATTTATTTGAGGAAATATATAAGAACACTTTCTTATATTTTTGAATATGAAGAACACTTCTTCTTTTCTCTCTTTTTCAACTCTTGAAAACTTAGATCAAATCTTAAGATTAATTTTGAACATCAAACATGTCCATATTTATACTAAACATTTTAGTATAAAATAATAATATTGGGTAGAATATTTTCATAAAATATAAAAAGTCTTCAAGAATATTTTCATAAAATATTAAGTCTTGGATAAGACTATTCCCCACCCAATATTCAATTAATAAGGATAAGATTAATTATGTTTAAGTAGATAGCATCTCTTAACCACCATAATTAATTATTCTTATTAATATTTAATCTTTAATCATATTAAAGATATATCATAAAATAATAATTCTTGAAAGCATCTTTCAAGACTTTATTATTTTAATCCTTTATTCCATTTCCTCATTTAATAATCATATTATTATTTGGATTTGAAATTTAAAATCTAATTTTAAATTCCAAATATTAATTAGTAATTCCATTAATTACTAAATTAATATATATTCCTTTATTGACATCTAATCAAATTAGATTTTGTCAATTAATTCTAACTCTTTAGAATTACTATTTGATTTTCACCTTCATTCAAAAATTGGTGTGACCTTTTAGGTTCACAATTAATACTAGTAGTGGGTTTACAACTCTTTGTAATTTGAGTTAATCTTATTAACTCTTATTCATGATTTAACTCCTTAATTCAAGAACCCACATATCATGGGAACATCTAGCAAGTAGCATGAATCTAGTATTAAGTGAATAGCGAGTAAACCTATTTCAATTACAAGTCCATACATGTAAAATCCTTTCGACATCTAATTTTCCGATTAAATCTTGGGTATGATTTTAGTCGAAACCCAAATTGATTTAATAACTATGATTCTATTTCATATTTAGTAATTCATGTGTGAATCTCTATTCATCCTGCCTTGGCCAAGGACTTTGAATTACTAACTATGAAACACATAGGAAATTCTCGTATCTTCATACGTGTCGAATCCTTTGTTGGCCACTAACAAACTTCCATACATATTAACATAATACCCAAAATATCCCTTTATACGATTGTGCTAGCAACCAAAAGGATAAATCAAAGTAGAACGTAATATGCACAAAGTTACCATTGTGCCTCAAGTCTAAGGATTAGTCATGTACTATTGTAACATTAAAATTCTTATTCGACAGATTATTAACTAAAATAATTCTTCATTAAGAATTTTCATACGGTCATGTTCAGTGAACTTGTTCTCTAACAAGCACCCACATATATGTACTTGCGTCCCACGCTAATGTTGATGGAATGCAACATTCTTGTCAAACAAGCATGCATACTATGTACAAGTCTTTTATGGATTATTCGATATCCCTTTTCGAAACATCCATCGACTTGGAACTTTATTTAAGACCACAGCTTTCAAGGTATGTTCCACGATCACCATCTCTATGCGCAACCATACCTTATAACTATATGTGATCTAGGGATTTTATCTTAAGTGCAAATATAGGATAAATGCTTACTCTTAAGATAAAATAATGCCTTTTAATTAATATAATTCCAATAGATTGTATTTACAAGTAGAATACATCCAATCCAATTGGAACGCTGGGTATACTACTCTAACAGTAACATACGCGCAACACCTCATAAATCGATTGCCGTCATCTGCAAAAGATGGTAAAACACCGTTGGAGGTATGGTCGGGGAAACCTGTTGCTGACTATGGATCTTTACATGTCTTTAGGTGTCCTACTTTCTATCATGTGAAGGATTCAAAGTTAGATCCAAGAGCGAAAAAGGCTTTGTTCATGGGAATCACAATTGGCGTGAAGGGATATCGTCTTTTGTGTCTTGAGACGAACAAAATTGTGTTCAGCAAGGATGTTACATTTGATGAACAAGGTATGATAAAGACGACGCAAACCCAACAGGTGGAGTTGACACCGAAGCAGGTGGAGATAGATGCAATGACGAGACAACTAGCTATGATCGACGAACCAATATCAAAGGATTCGTCGGATGATGAAGTACAGACTCAAGAATCATTAGAGTTACCCATTGCATTGAGAAAGCCCAGACGAGAGATTCAACAACCTGCTCGATTGACGGATATGGTGGCTTATGAACTTCCAATTGTTGATGATGACATACCTTTCACTTTTCAAGATGCAATTCGGAGTTTAGAAAATGAGAAATGGAAAAGGGCTATGGAGGATTCAGCCAGAAGGATTCAAAGTTCTTGGAAAAGAGAATTGGGTCTGTAAGTTGAATAAATCGTTGTATGGACTGAAGCAATCTCCGAGACAGTGGTACAAACGGTTTGATAAGTTTATGATTGGGCAGAAGTACACACGAAGCAGACATGATCATTGTGTGTATCTACGCAAGCTGCAAGATGGATCTTTCATTTACTTACTCTTGTATGTGGATGACATGTTGGTTGCATCAAAGAGCCAAGTGGAAATTGATCATTTGAAGGCTCAGTTGAATCAAGAGTTTGAGATGAAAGACTTGGGGGAAGCTAAGAAAATTCTCGGGATGGAGATAAGTAGGGACAGAAGGAGAGGCAAGCTTTGTTTGACTCAGAAGCAATATCTGAATAAGGTACTACAGCGTTTCAGCATAAAAGATGAGACGAAGCCTGTAAGTACACCACTTGCCCCTCATATTAAGTTAAGTGCCCAATTATCGCCAAATTGTGATGAAGAACGAGAGTACATGACTAGAGTCCCATATGCAAATGCAGTTGGTAGTTTGATGTATGCGATGGTGTGTACAAGGCTCGACATTTCACAAGCAGTTGGTGTTGTTAGCAGATATATGCATGACCCTGGTAAAGGTCATTGGCAAGCTGTGAAATGGATTCTACGGTACATTCACAATACTGTAGACGTTGGATTAGTTTATGAGCAGGATGAATTTGGTCAATGTGCGGTTGGATATTGTGATTCTGACTATGCGGGCGATTTGGATAAGCGAAGATCAACGACTGGATATTTGTTCACTTTTGCGAAAGCTCTAGTCAGTTGGAAGTCTACCTTACAGTCAACGGTTGCTTTGTCTACAACAGAGGCAGAGTATATGGCGGTTACTGAAGCTGTGAAGGAGGCTATTTGGCTTCAAAGTTTGCTTGAAGACTTGGGAGTTGGTCAAAAGCACGTCTTAGTGCATTGTGACAGTCAGAGCGCTATTCACTTAGCGAAAAATCAAGTATTTCATGCAAGAAATAAGCATATTGATGTTCGCTATCACTGTGCGGGAGATTCTAGAAGATGGAACCGTTGTGTTGAAGAAGATCAAGACGACGGAGAATCCTGCAGATATGATGACCAAGGTACTGGCAGCAGTCAAGTTTGAACATTGTTTGGACTTGACTAACATTCTGCATATTTGAGTTGGCGCCGTGAGGCGCATTTAGAGGCACCGCCGACAGTTGATTTGGATTGAAGAGTCGAAGTGGGAGCAAAATTAGTCAAGGTGGAGAATTGTTAGTTTTTGATTAATTGTTTGTCCCACATCGAATGTATACCAAAGATGTGTAGGATCTTATTAGTATAAATAGGTCCCTTGCCTTTGGGTTACAATTGCACCTTATTCTATTATCTCCTCTCTTGGTAGGAAATCCTTAATTAAGGAAATCCTAATTTGTGGGTTATTTAACCCTAGTTGTATTTTGTTGGTGAGTTTAGTAAATTTGGCGTTGCGGTTGGCGGTGCCCGGAGACGTAGGCTATTTTCGCCGAACTCCGTTATCAATTTTTGTGTCCTTTTTTATTTTCCGTCTTTTATTTATTTGTGTTGGCTTATTTTCGTTTGGAGTAGTGCTTGCCATTTTTGTTGGAGGGGTATTTTTGTCCGCTGCGTTTTGGTGTTCTACCCCAACAAGCCGCTCGACCACTTTGCGACACCCGTCGAAAACCCTCAGCATGACATAGTCGACCAACGATTGCAATGAAGCACTATACCAAAGACGACACCTAGAGGGACGGGCTGCACAGTTTAGTGTCGGTCAACACCGTGGCGGCGCTGAATGCCCAGTTGAAGGAGGCAGCGACGAGAAAATGAGGGAGAGTTTACCGTGCGAAAGAGGGAAAACTACGAAGAGTTCTTGTGTGCTTATCGTGTGTTGTGACATTGTGTTGGTACATTAACTGTTTTAAATACTGGCACACCCGCGCACAAAACAAATTAGCAATTTAACAGACATGAGACAACTGCATAGCACGACTCTCGTACAATTTTTACGACAACAAATGGATAGATTGAAAAATCTATTCACCTCTCTCCATCGACAAACTTATCTATCATGATTCATGACCCTAACAAGTAACAACGCATGCCATGTGCAAAAAAGTTTGTACTCGTTTTTTATCTGGCCTTTTTTTACCCGAATTGACCAGTTTTACAGCCCAATGGTTTCAGGCCGGACCCATAACGGGTTTTGTTGCCAATCTGGTGTTACAGTCAATTATTTTTCTTTCCTTTTTGTGTTTGCAACTTTGCATTTTTTTAAATTCGAAATGATAATGGTAGGGAATAGGAATTTTTCCACGTAGAAACTAGAAAGTACAGTTGATAACAAACCTTCACCAACCCACTCTTGAATTTTGCAAGTCAAACTTGACAATACTACCAAAATAGGTGATCAAAATCACACACAAAAAAAGTTTCTTTCACATTTCGCATTCCATTAAATTCTGATTTTCATTTTCATACCAACTACTTGCTTGCGAACCTGGTGGAGAAGGAGTTTCTGATTTTGCCTGGTAATTTGTTTTTCTCTATCCGATCTTGCTTATCGTCCTTAATTTGTGTTTAATTTTGTCTAATTTTAGTCCTTGGTTGGAATTCCTTTTGCTTCTCGGATCTATTGTTGCTTGGTGGGTAATATGAAATTCTCAAGTTAATTGCAGCTTTTTAGTACAAGTTCATTGTGGCCAAAACGTTCGGAATCGAACTCAGTTTTAGAGGATAATTTTTGGGTTTGATCGCATAGGTGTCTGTATACCGATGAATCTGATTGAATGGATTTCAGAATTATCTTAAACCCTTCAAATGTTTATGTGAGTCAGTGAGTGGACTTCTGCCAGTCTTTTATACAAATTTTTTGCAGTCAATTGTTTTTGCAAATCTGTTGATTATTAGAATAGATAGTCGAATCTGGAACCGTTATTTACTGTGCAGAACAGTAGCTGTGAATTTGGAGATGGCAGCGCTGGGTGAATGGCACTGTGAGAAAAGAACTTATGGAAAGAAAGAGTCTTTTCCTAGAGAGAATGAGAATGTTCCAGAAACTGGGTGTCTCTCTATCATTGTTCTTGGTGCTTCCGGTGATCTTGCCAAGAAGAAGACTTTTCCTGCTCTTTTTAACCTTTACCGTCAGGTTAATTAAAATTATATTGTTTCTAGTAAAAATTCGCATTCAATTTTCTACACGATGGATTTAGGTTTTAGATTGAAATCGTGCTATGAAGTATTGATTATTCTTATGTGTGGTTCCTTACTAGCTAGAAATGAATTTTTTCTTGAATGGCCACTCATCTTGGTTTATTTTGGACTGGGGACGTTTAGGGATTTTTGCAATCAAATGAGGTTCACATATTTGGTTATGCAAGGACTAAGATCTCAGATGATGAGCTGAGAGAACGGATCCGGGGGTAAGATTTCTACATCCTTCAGCTTAAATTTATGGTCCTTGCGCATGTTTATTCATCTACGTTTTTTCTTCTTTTTCCTTTTTCTTTTTAAAATTGTTGTTCCTTGATGCAGTGAATATTAAAATCTCCATACATCTTAATTGTTTTCTGAATCTAATAACTCTTGGCTATTTTTTGATTCATCAACTATATTTTTCTGTTGTAGGTATCTTCCCCATGGGAAAGAAGGCATGGAAGATGTGTCAAATTTTCTGCAGTTGGTTTGTTGTTGCTTGTCAATTATATCTCATGCTTTACTAACTCTTTATTTTTTAAGCTTAATATGAATTAATTTTCTCTGATATCATAGATTAAATATGTGTCTGGCGCTTATGATGCTCCCGAAGGTTTCCAAGCCCTAGACAAGGCAATATCCCAGCACGAATTCTCGAGGAACACTACAGAGGGAACATCCCGCAGGCTTTTCTACCTTGCACTTCCCCCATCAGTGTATCCACAAGTCTGCAAAATGATTAAGTATTATGCCATGAATAAATGTATGTTCTTTTTTTCAGAATTAGTTTCAGGTCACTCATTCCTTGTGCATTTCCTTTCTTTCTGATTTTCGTTGTGTATATGTCTGGTTTTCAGAACTAGCTATAGTGGTGTTAAAATTAACTTCCCCCCCCCCCCCTGCAATGAACTAATTGAATAGAAGAAATTATAGGTCTAAGTTGATTCAGAATACTTCATCATTGTTTGAACATCATTGACAGCTACTGCTCTAGAGGTGCAGTATGAACTTTTATGAATTCATCACGATGAAAGATGACATTAGAAATGCACTCAGTTTGTAGACCATAATGTGATTAGTGCGTTTGCTTCTCATGTATGCATGATTTGCGAGTTATTGTGACTCCTTGGAGTTGTATTTTTCAGCTGATCTTGGTGGGTGGACTCGTATTGTTGTTGAGAAGCCTTTCGGCAAGGATTTGGCTTCAGCAGAGGAACTGAGCTCCCAGATAGGAGAATTATTTGACGAACCGCAGATTTATCGTATAGATCATTATCTGGGGAAAGAATTGGTGCAGAACTTGGTAATACTTGTTGCCTTAACTGGCTGAGTTACTGGGTATTACATGCAGCAGCAAATGCTAGAAAGAAGCTCGTTAATCTTCATTTCTTGTAAAACATTGCAGTTGGTACTTCGTTTTGCGAATCGTTTATTCTTACCTCTCTGGAACCGTGACAACATTGCGAATGTACAGGTCGGTTGATTACTCTTACTTTACAACCAGTAGCAATAATATTTCTATTATTGAACATGGTTTCTCACATTGACATTTTCTCCACTCCAGATTGTGTTCAGAGAAGATTTTGGAACCGAGGGGCGAGGTGGATATTTCGATCAGTATGGGTATGTGCTACTCTTGCAAAAATAATCTCGTGTTGTAAACTATAGAATTACTTGTGTTCTTCTCTCCCTTGAAATTTAGTGGATGTATAAGTTTTTTATTTTGCCTGCTGTGCAGAATTATTCGTGATATAATCCAAAATCACCTACTGCAGGTGAGCCTTTGTTTGAATGTCTTAATTAATTGTCTAATTATGCTTCACTGTAAAAATATCACCTTCCATATTTTAAAATTAATGTCCATTCGATGATTTTTATCAGTTCCTTCCTGTTAACATTGAACCTGAAGTAAATGATTTGATTTTCAACTACACCCTTTTGGTTTACAAATGTTGTCAACCTGAGAATGTTTAAATTTGCAGGTTCTGTGCCTTGTCGCCATGGAAAAGCCTGTATCTTTGAAGCCTGAGCATATTCGAGATGAGAAAGTCAAGGCATGTTGAGGATTGCCCTCTTACCATGAACTCCATAGATTTAGCTCTGAATTTAGCTATGGTCGGCTGTATTACCTGTTCAGTGAATGTTAACTGGAGCTCCATTTCTGTTATCCTGCGCTAGCAAGAATCGTCATAGATTTTCTTTTCCATTGGCTTTGTTTGCTTTTAGTTTGTGGATATTGTGTACTTAAATTCTGTGTGCTTGCTCATTACTGCTGGAGATATTTCACTTTTCCATTAAAGCGTTTAGTTGGAACTCAGGTTCTCCAATCAGTTGTCCCAATAAAAAATGAAGAGGTGGTCTTAGGACAGTATGAAGGATACAAGGATGATCCTACAGTTCCAGCCAACTCAAATACTCCTACTTTTGCAACAATGATCCTTCGTATACATAATGAAAGATGGGAAGGTAGCCAAACTGTCTGCATTTTTTTTTAAACTCTGTTTATATATTATTCTCCATGATGGATCAAATTGTTCCAACGACCATTACTACTTGTTGTAGGTGTTCCCTTTATACTTAAGGCAGGGAAGGCCTTGAATTCAAGGAAAGCAGAAATACGGGTTCAATTCAAGGATGTACCCGGTGATATCTTTAGATGTAAGTATCCGAATGTTTTATAATGCTAATGTAAACCTTCACAATTTCTCAAATTAACTGCCAATTAAGTTGTATCTGTAACTAATTGCCGTCAAAANAAAAAAAAAAAAAAAAAATACAGTGTAAATCTAATGAAATCTAATCCACGCAGGTCAAAAGCAGGGAAGGAATGAATTTGTGATCCGCCTGCAACCTTCAGAGGCCATATACATGAAGCTAACAGTATGTTTACCTCAACATAATTTCTTGGGTTGTGACTATTACTATCAATGAGCCGTTTTTCTTCCTATTTCATCATGCAGGTCAAACAGCCTGGGCTGGAAATGTCAACTGCCCAAAGCGAACTGGATTTGTCATACAGGCAACGCTATCAAGGGGTTGTAATTCCGGAGGCTTACGAACGCCTAATTCTAGACACGTAAGCACATCTGGTCATTACACTCATGATTCTTATTTTACTTTATAATTTTACTAACAGGATATTGGGATATTCTAATTCCAACCGGGAGGTTTTACTTAAAAATTACAAGTTACAGCCCTTACTGACAGATGGCTGCTTTTATTTTATTTTATTTTATTTATTTATTTAGTAATCAGCTCGGGCAGTGTATAACCCCCCGTATATATAATTTCAGAATACATTGAACCTAAGTGACAGCTTCTCACGCTTTGTAATCTTATGTGGCAAAATATTATGTTTTGTAACGTGGCTCGGATAAAAATTACTAATTTTTTATACCGAATAACTTAGGTTTGGATTGCCATATATACACATATTTTATATATTTAAAGTATTCCATATAAATATTTTTATTATCTTCTTTCTATAATGTGCATAATATTAATATCTTACTTTTCAAATTTTGTGCTTTGTCCATATTATTCTCTTATATGTTTTAAATAAAAATATTATAAATAAACTAATGATGTATATAAATTAGTTTTCAGAATTTAAAATAATATTGTTAATTCACATAGTTCTTTATTATAAATTGTTATATATTGTTCCTTGTTTATTTTTTCCAACTTCACCAAAATATATAAACATTTTTTTCTTTCATTTTTTGTTGTACATTTAATTATTTTATCAAACACTCGTGTAGTACACGGTATTGTACTAGTACCTATTAATCAAATCAAAATGATAGCTACCATCACTGACAAAAATGAAATCCTGCTAACAAAAATGGGACACCTCTAATTTGTGTAGTATAAACGTGCCATTTGCAGGATTAAAGGCGATCAACAACATTTTGTCCGTAGGGATGAGTTGAAGGTAACAAACTTTATACTTGTCATGAGACTCATGACTCATTTCATGTATTGACTGTATATTTACTGGTCTAACTTTGTTAGGCTGCATGGGAGATTTTCACTCCAATTCTTCACCAAATAGACAATGGAGAGTTTAAATCTCTTCCTTACAAGCCCGGTAGCCGGGGCCCGGCGCAAGCGGATGAGCTGTTAGAAAAGGCAGGCTACGTGCAAACACATGGCTACATATGGATCCCCCCAACCTTGTGATAATCTACATTTATGCAAAGTTAAAGCCTTGAGCTGAGAAGTCCATGTTCGAAAAATTTGTGGCATTATGATGTATCAAAAGCGCTTAATTAAAATGCAATAAAATTATGTGTGTCTAGAAGATAATGAAAGTGGAGGCGTGATTGAAGCAATGCTTTGATGACTTGATGTAATGAAAAATGTTGAGCCCTTGTGTGCGAATAATATTTCGTATTGCTTTTAATCTATATATCAATATAAAAAGGTTTGTATTTATGTTTTTCCATAAAAAAAATCTTGTTTACATGGAGAGTTTGTATATTAATTTCAAGCCAAAATAAAATATCTGGCAATAGTTCGCCACAATTATAGTTGAACTTTCAAAAACTACTATATATAACTAAGGATAAAATTTACTTTTCCTATCTTAACTTTTCTGATACCACACCAGGTAGAACAAACCTAACAAATCGGCTTACCAGGCCGGTTGGACCAGGTGGTCGATCAGGAGCACAAGTAGGTCAAATGGAGGTGGAATGACGGTACGAAACAAAGAGCCCACAGGTCGAGGAAAGCATTGGAGGTTTTAAGGGACACTGACAGGTCGAGCTAGGATCCTTGTGTGGTCTGATGGAAACTCGACCTGAAGATACGATTGGTCGTGACATCAACCATAAGGACAGAACGCGGACTCGACGTGACAACATTCTACCTCGACAGGAGTCGAGTTGGTCGCATGATTAGACGGTCTAATACGATACACTAGTTGACAAGAAGGAATCTTAGAAGGATGAGAACCACATGCGGATACGGCCGCGTGGTCTAACAGAATTGGGCAGTTCAGGCAGATCGGTCGGTACGGATGGGCTCTTATTAGAGCAGACCGGGCAGCTCATCCAGGTAGTCTTGGGCAACAAGGTAACACTCCCTATAAAAGGGTGTGAGATATAGCACTATCAAAACGGGTCATGGCCCGCGGGCTGGCCCATCCTTCTGCCTAAATGGACTGGCTTGGGCCTTTGCTTGGCCAACCCGTTCAATCGCGGGCCTATTTGTCCTGCCCCGCCCGTGGTCTAAAGCGGGTTTCTAGCCCGTTTTTTTATTATATATTTATTTGTTAATTTTATATTATTTAAATTTAGTATTTCTTATTTTACTTCTATAACTATTCATGAAAAAAATAAAAATAAAAACTAGATTACAAATATTTAACATCATTACACATGAAGCCTTACTAGTTTATTAATATACTAGTAAATATAAGGATAAACAAACCAAAAAATATATAAAGAGTGCATAATACCAAAAAACCCATGGGCGGACTGATTTGGCCCGCGAGCTAATGAGTGCGGGCCACGGGCTATGGATTTCCCAGCCCGTAGAAATGCGGGCCATTTTGGCCCGCCCCGTTTGAACCGCGGGCCAGCGCGGATCGGACCGGACCGGCCTGTTTGACACTGCTAGTGAGATATATCCTTCATCACATTACATTCTCTACATACATTTAAATACAATACTTATCTTTTCCACAGTATTAACTTAAACATCGGAGGCTCTGCACCAGAAAACCCCTTCGGTGTGAGAGTTTTTGCAGGTCTCAAAGGTGATCTAATGGCGAGGAGCTCAAACTAGACCGAATCCAAGCCAGTCGAGGGTCTTTCTATACCATTTGGCTCCGTCTGTGGGAATCTGTTCAAAAACTATCAGAGCTTCTTCATCCATGGCGAGTGAGATTCCCAAAAAAAATTTAGTGCAAATCGTTGACAATGTGTGGTCGAACACAGTTCCCTTCGGACCAGGCCCACGACCAGGCTTTTTCGTACCTCTTCAGACCCTGGTGACCCCGACGCCTCATCCTCCGGGCTTAGGGAGCTCATCGGCGGTCCCAGGTGCAGCAGCAGAGCCGAGCAACCCATCGAAGGTGGTCTCGACATCAAGGCTTCTCGATCACTGAGATTTCTCTCGGTTGTTGAAGAAATTTTGAGAAAAGAATGGGGAGACAGTGATAAGCAAACTAGGGTCTGCTGATCAGATTAAAGGGAAGAGAAGGGATTTGGAATTCTTGTTGCAACCGAACGCATAGATACTGGTCTTGATGGGAGTGGAACGCGTGAGAGAGACGGATAAAAAAAGAAGACCGATTATTCTCTTCAGACTTATCTTTTCTTTCCTTTTTTACTTTGATAATTAACTCAATTTTCTCCTAGTAAAATCATACCTTAATTCTTAACTCTCTTCCCTTCTCTCCTATTTAATTTGCTTTTATTTAAAAAACTACCATACTTATTATTAGAAAAGTACTAACTAGAATACTAATTAGATTAATATCATTATAATAACTTAATGACCAAAATTATATTTAATGGTCAATTAAATTAAAAAGAAAAAGATGTCTATTTAAAATAATCGACTTTTAAACGGGGTGCTACATCTATAGTCAACCTCGAGAAATATGAATGCTTTATTGGAAAAAAGTCGAGTTAAATCCGATCCACTTAGTAGCACAAGATAATGGCTCGGAAGGTGGACGCTCCAACTTGGTGGTGGAAGCAGAAACTTGAGAAAATGTAAATTGGGATTCTCGATCGGGCTCAAGAATCTCCTTCACTGAAGTATCATTCTTGCCTTGTGGGAATGCATCATCTTCTTCTTCAGTATCACCCATGTGCATCGGAATACAAGTTTGGACATCAAACGTAAGATGGGAGTCATCGATAATGGGCTTATTAGCTCATGACTCGATACAATCGATGCATGCCATTAGGCTCTCCAATTGCGCGTTCAATCGAGCACATCCGAGCTCAACCTCCTCTTCTCGAGATACTTGGGCTATCACACGAGCAAAAATGAGATCAAGCTTTTTAGTATATAACACCAACAGACAGGTCGTCGCGCTAGTTTTCGCGCCTCCTCGCGTCGCGTCGCAAAGACTGTCGCGCCGCGTCACACGCTACGGGTTGATGAAGCCTCGCGCCATGAAGCTGTTAGCGCCGCGACAAACTAACAGGAACGAGGATCTGGTCAGGTATTCTCTCGCTCCGCGAAGCAGGTTATGCCGCGAAGGTCTGGCCGGAACGAGGACTTGATCAACAAATCTTATAATTTATTTTTCTTTGTTAATTTATATTTCTTGTGACTCTTGTTGCAATTTTTTAATTTTCCTTTCTTTAAAACTCTTGTATTCTTCATTTGAATAACTTATGAAATAAGAAAACAAAACCACTCGCGTTCGAGCAATACTTCTCGTGCTAAGCGACAGCCAATAGCGTGTGTTTTCACAAATTCGAATAGTTCAATACACAATCTTCATTATACTAGTTTGACACAATTTGAAAAAAAAAATACTATATTTNTAGATTTATATATATATATATATATAATAAGAATTAGCATTTACCATAAATAGTAGTAAGGAAAAGTCAACCCACATTTATTATATACTATTTTCAGCAATTTTTTTATTTTACATTTTAATTTTAATTTATTATCAAAAAATTGGATGGTTCCTAAATTAATGGGTTTTAGATGACGTATCCTGTTTCAAAAATTATATATCATTTAAAATCGGATGGTTCCTAAATTAATGGTTACAAACTTTTCAAAGTTGTAATCTTTATGGCATCTTTTCTTTTTGACTTTTAATAATAAAATCATTTTAAATATATATATTCTAATCCAAAAATTCAATCATGTTAGCTAAAATTATTTTAGTAAATTGCATACCCAATCAATTAATCTTGATTTTTTTTTAAAATTACTATGTTTATTTTTTATTAATATGCATAAAATAAAAATAAATAATTCATCTTTAGATGTATAATTTTTAATCTTAATATAGTATCATTTGGTGTAGGCATATGAATCATAAAATTTTTTTATTTCATAAAATTAAATATTATATTTAAAGAAAACAATGAAATTACTTTGGATCAATCAGGTGATTAAAATAGGGTACTGCCCACGTTCATAATTCAATTGGGTAATTGAATTACTTTTAGGTGATATTTAAAATAGTCAAAAAACTTGACATAACTTAGTTGGTCCCAGGTAACTAAGTTATGTATCAGTTTGATCAGACCAAATCGATTATTGAACCTAAATATAAATTTTAATATTAAAAATACTTTATTATGTAGTCCAAAGTTCAAGTAATCATATTAACAATACTTTTTACGACAACATGATTAATGGTTTATGAATATTTACATATCATTTTATTATTATTTATGTGAACAAAATAATTATTTTATTATTATTTTTATTAATGTACGGTAAATACAAGGTTTTCAGAACCGGGCCGTCATCGAAACGATCAAGTTATTTTATTATATCATTTGTGGTTGTTCAGATTTTAATAATTAATACTTTAATATATATATATATATAGTACTTTTTGTAATAAATTTAAATAAAAAGTGTTACTTAAATATCTAAACAATTTATAAATTCAAATGTTTAAACTAATTGATAAACAATTTATAAATCTCTATTTTATTTAAATATGTAATTCTATTTAAAATAATTTCAATGTAACAAAATTTGTTTAGAAAATCGTATCGATCCTACCAGTTCAACATACTGATGTTGACGGATTCGATAACAAATATTTTATTCAAGCACAATAGACTGGTTATAAACCGGTTCTCGGTCCATCCGGTCGGACTGTGTCCAACTCGGTTTAATTTAAAAATAATGGATAAATCATGATTAATGTTATGTATTTATTTAATTTATAATACAATCAAAATATTGTTTTCCCGTGCATCGCACGGGCCACACACTAGTGAAGATAAATTGTTGAAGATAATCTATCCGTAAAAAATGGAAATGAATTTTTGTTGGAGATAATCTATCCGTTAAAAAGAAAATGAATTTGTAATTTATTTTGTCAAATTAAGATTTTGAGTTAATCCTTCTATAACACGTTTGTGTGGACTGAATGCGGTAGATACAACCTCAATTTTTTTTATCCAATAATACTTCATCAACACAAACATTAACTGGTAAAATAATAATTGGCCACATATCATTACTTAGGTAGATATAACCTCAAATGAATTAAATCATACCGTACCTAAGTTCACTTTAATGTATAAATCATTAGAATAATAAGTAATATATATTTTATACATAACAAATAAATGTTTATCATAGCTTTTATTAAAAACAAAAATTTAAATTATTATACCTTTTATTTTATATGAAATTCAAAATTATATATTTTAATATATTAATAAATATTTATTATTTATTTTTTCTTATGTGATATAATCAACATTCGGTATTAAAATTTTAAATTCAAACATTTAAAGAAAAAGATTCTAAACAAATTTTTTTGGGTAAATTTCATTTTATCTTGATTTCCATATAATCACATTTCTAACAAACTAATTAATATTATATTTTTTTATCTACATTATCTAACTGATTTTTTATGATACAATTAATATAATATCTTAACTAATTAATCATTTATCTAACCGGATTTATCTCTCTAACAAACTTGCTAATTTTTTTGAAATTAAAATAGTATGATTATTCTTATGGAGATTATTGACTTTTAAAAAAAAATAAAATAAAAACCATAAGGTTTAATAATATTCCTTAAAAAAAATATTGTATAAAGATAAGTGTTTAATAATATATATTTTTCATTGTTTGTATTTATTTTATTTTCATAATAGACAAGATGTGAAAAATATATATAATTATATTTAAAATAAAGCCTAAAAAAAATTTAAAATATGAGCTCCTCGTGCATCGCACGGGATATACACTAGTTATTACTGATCTACTCTACCAACTCACGTGAGAGCCACGTGCGAGAGTTCTTACTCCCCAAGAAAGCCGCTAACGTAGTTGGGGCCCATCCACCTTCTCAGGTCTCGACATCTCCGCCCTCACCCTTCTTTTGGATCTCAACACTTCCTTCGACTATATATAAGCACCCACGCCTCACAACCCTACACAGTGTAAACACCACTTCACTCTTTATCTACTCTCGATTGCCCATTGCTATTCCTTCTCTTTTACTCAATTCTTATTTTCACATTTGCTCATCGTCATGGCCAAGATCAAGATCGGAATCAACGGTAACTATCTTTCTTTTTTAAACTCAGCAATTTTCTTTCTTCCTTTAGTTTAGATTATGAATCGCAGTAGGAATTATTAATAATAGATTCCGTCTAATCTCACCGATTTGATCAAATTTCTTATGTGCTAGGGTTTGGAAGGATCGGCCGTCTAGTGGCTAGGGTTGCTCTGCAGAGTGATGATGTTGAGCTTGTTGCTGTTAATGATCCTTTCATTACCACCGATTACATGGTAAATGCACCCTCTCGTTCTCTCTGTCTCCCTGTGTGTGTGCGCATCGATTATATTTTGTTTTAGCCTTTTTTTATATAGGTATTGCATATAAAATTTTGGGTCCATCTCCATTAACTTTGATTTTACTTTAAATTAATCTAGCAAAGGGACATGCCGTTTCGTTGTGCTGCTTTTTTATTTCTTAACATCGTGACCAAATAGTTGGATTTTGTGATATTTCTTGCAAATCAGACGCTGTATTTATAAAATGACTCATGATCGAGCTACGTGAAATGGATACTGCAAAAAACTATAAAGTCAAGAATTTGGAGGATAACCTTTTTTGGTTAAAAAAAAAAAATATCCTTCTCAACCATCTCTTTACATGTATGCTACCTCAACTTCCATACTAGCGCTAGAGGGCCATTTAAAGAATATTCTATATAAAGCTCATGATGGAGTTCACGCTGTCATGTATGGTTCTTCTAATGTGCCTCTTGTATTAAGTTCATCTGCTTCTAGTGTCTCAATCTTATTGTAACCTTGCGGTTGCCGTCGTGTGTAGACCTACATGTTCAAATACGACAGTGTTCATGGTCAATGGAAAAAGGATGGGCTTACGGTTAAGGACTCAAAGACCCTTCTCTTTGGTGACAAGGAAGTTGCTGTCTTTGGCTCCAGGTACTCCTTCACTATATTCTTCAGCTTTGGTTCGTCTAACTCCTTTGTAGTTACAAATTTTCCTTGTGAATAGGAACCCAGAGGAGATCCCATGGGCTGAGGCTGGAGCTGAATATGTTGTGGAGTCCACAGGTGTTTTTACCGACAAGGACAAGGCTGCTGCTCACCTCAAGGTGTATAATATGAACTCTTTACTTTGAATGTCATATATATTCCTAAATAGCCACCCAGTTTTCAATGTATCCATTTGGTATCTCATTTCCCTTTTCATTGTTGTAATGTTTATTAACATAAAGTAGTCAGATGACATATAAACCTTTATATTTATGCTTGTATTTATCATGTTTCTTTGTTTTTGGCTTTCAGGGCGGTGCAAAGAAGGTTGTCATTTCTGCACCAAGCAAGGATGCTCCCATGTTTGTTGTTGGTGTCAATGAGAAGGAGTACAAGAAAGATCTCGACATTGTCTCAAATGCTAGTTGCACTACAAACTGTCTTGCTCCATTGGCTAAGGTCTGCATTTTCTTTCTACATTTTTCCCGAGACATATGTCAAGAATCAAGATTGTATATTTTTGTGATATTTTATTTACAGGTTCTTAATGATAGTTTTGGAATTGTTGAGGGGTTGATGACTACTGTCCACTCTATAACTGGTTAGTTCAAAAATGGCATATACAACTTTTCCTTCATTTACAGGTTATAGCTTAATCATTGATATCCTTTTTGCTTGATGTAATTCAGCAACACAGAAGACCGTGGATGGTCCATCGATGAAGGACTGGAGAGGTGGAAGAGCTGCTTCCTTCAATATTATCCCAAGTAGCACTGGAGCTGCTAAGGTACCATAAAGTGCATTTTACTTAATGAAGCATGTTCATTGACTCATTGACTGACCAGTTGTTTTCTAAGGTCTGGAAAAGCTTTCTGTTAAATTTAATAAGTGCTAAAACATGTTTAGTTTATTGCTGTGCAAGTAATTTCATGTTAGTTTATGTTTAACATAAGTGATTAAAGCATGTCCATAATGTATCATATATTGGGCCCAACTACATGACTTGTTCATGATAAAAGGCACAGGGTTGTGCTTTTTTGTTTTTACTTTCATGGCTGACCATTATTGCATAGTATTCAATTAATTAAGTCATATTCTAGACTGCACATTGAACATTTTTTTTAATATTGAATATTCTGTTCTACAGGCAGTGGGGAAAGTCCTACCTGCTCTTAACGGAAAGCTTACTGGAATGGCTTTCCGTGTTCCCACTGTCAATGTCTCGGTGGTTGACCTAACTGCAAGGCTTGAGAAAGCAGCTACCTATGATGAAGTTAAAGCTGCTATCAAGTAAGAAACTTGGTTACTTTGGACCTTACTTATTTAGTTTCTCACGTGAATAACTCACAAATACCATCTTGTTTGTTGGTATCCAGGAATGCGTCTGAGACTAACTTGAAGGGAATCCTAGGATACACAGAAGATGATGTCGTATCAACTGACTTTGTAGGTGATTGCAGGTGAGAATTTGTGGATGTGTGTTACCTTAATACTATTCATATAAATCATTCATGTGCAATATGTTACATCTCGTGCCCTTGAAACTTGGGTTAATCAGAAAATGGTTAATCAAAAAATTATCTTGTGAGGTGCTTTGTGATTTAACGAACAAAACCAGTTATTTTACAAAAATGGATCCTCTAGAGTATGTAAAAGCTGAGAAACACAATGGCTGTGTAGGAGTGTATATGAAATGTGTATTTTTTGCTCCAAGAAAATTCACAAGGATGAAATACAAAGTATCCAGATCCAATATTTGATGGCTATCCCCTTGGTGTTTGTTAGTATTATAAGTATTATATAAACTGTCTTCTATTTATCTCTACAAGCATTATGTAATCATCTGGAGGTGTTTTTTGCCATATATTTTTTTGAATGATTGTTGAGTGTGTTCATAAATCGAACAGTCCTTATTGAAGCTCCTCATTTTTGATATCCTAACAGATAAATTTTAATTTGTCAGGTCTAGCATTTTCGATGCTAAGGCTGGAATTGCCCTCAATGGCAATTTTCTGAAGGTTGTCTCTTGGTATGACAATGAATGGGGATACAGGTAGGAAATCTATAATGCTGACATATATTTCTAACTTTACATGTTTGAGATGTTTTTTTGTTCTCAGTTCGGATTTTAATGTTATTTTGAATGTAATGCAGCAACCGAGTTATCGACTTGATCCGTCACATGGCATCTGTTGCATGAGCTGCTGCAAGGGAAAATCACCTCCCTTTTCCTGCTAAATTCCTCGTCTTTTTGGTAGCTATGATGAGGTTGTTTTAATAACTGAGTACACATTCCTTCAGGGATGCTGTTATTTTGTTCCCTTGTTTGGTGCGAGAATTCTAATTGACATTTTGTTGAACGGAATATTTGGCCCTCAGGCGTTTTTATAACCAGTACCCTTTTTCCCTATTGATACTGTTTTGCCTTTTGAACTCGTTGAGTGAACTTATTTGAGTAGTTACTTATACTAGTATCGGTGCCAGTGTAAATGCACGGGTGTATTTAAAATAAATTTTAACAATTTAAGTCATCAAAGATAGGTTCATTGTTGATTCTAGAAAAAATGAAAAAATTTTAAGACTCTAGTTTTGTAAGTCTAAGGCTAGAAAGATGGGTCAATGTCTATGGATTTGCTAACGGAAAATTCTAAATTTGAGACTATCGATTAAAGCTGTTCTACTTTTTTTTATAGGGTGATGAATGATTTTCAAGAAAAAAATATTAACACTCGAATATAAATAGAACGAGACGGAACAAAATTATATAGTATAAAAGTCTGAAATTTGAAATACAAGTCTGGAATGCGGAAGCAAATACAAGTTTGAAATATCATCAAACAAACACAATAAGTTTAAACATGTTCAATTATACTACATGACATGTTGTCTCAAAAATAGCCTTAAGCTTGACAATCGCCACATATCAGCTCACGCGCCACTCGGGACTCCGTCACCTGAAGAATGGTTAGTGGGGGGCGTGAGCATAAAGATCCACGTGCTCTGTTGGAACCGGCACTGAATATTCATCACATTTAAATATTTAATAACAAATCATGACTATAATCTTCTCCCAAGAAAGGCATTAATCACCCCATTTGGATGTTAGACTTAAGATGGGCCCTAATCACCACACGTCCAAGTCATAACTATAATCTTGACCAAGATGGGATCACTCATCCGTCTCGGTCCTCAATCTACTCACACACATACCTCAGACAGGATAAACAATTAAGAACAATGAGATACACAGTACAGGGTCCCCACCTGATGGCTGGCGAAATGCAAATACTGGGAATAGATGTGTAGCAGGCGGAGGCTCGACTCTCCTCAAGCTACAAAATATTTGAGCAAAATATTTTAAGTACTAAGCTCAATCTGAAAAACTCGAAACTAAATATTTGATCTTACTAGGTTCGCTTGCTCGATTTTAAAAATCATTTAAAACTCATTTTAGAAAATTTACAAGCTAATTTGAAAAATTATTGTCTTGAGGCTTTCTAGAGTTCACTGAAATATTTCTAAGTTCGGGAACTAAATTCTGACTTGATCTTAATCTGACTTGGTTCAGAAAAATACTATAATCTCGGTTCACGCTCAAACTGATGTTCCGAACTGAAAACTCCCGAATCATCTGGACTACCCGGACTGATTCAACTGAACTGAAAATTTCTCAAACCGTGCCCGGACCGGTTCTGCTGGACGGGACCGACGGCTCGCTCAGAACCGACCGATCGTTCGTTGGCTATGTGCAGCTCGGCTCAACTGTGGTCCGGGTTCGGCGTAGCAACTCACGGGCACGCACGAGCAGGGCTGACACGGCTTCGCCGACGCACGAGCTTTAAATGGTGCCACGGCCACTGGCGCAGGGGCGCGCTTGGACCACGACTAAAGGAACGGCGTGTTGGCAAGCAGGTAGGACGGACGCACGGGCGTTGAGAAGTGCACAGGGGCGCGGCTCGATCGGACTCGATGCAATGATGGGACGAGAGTGGGACACCTGCACGGGACATCGATACGTGTTGAGGATGTGTGCTAATGCACGCCTGTTGGTTGGCTATGCTCGCTACGACACACACAACCTTGGTAGCCTTCTTAGGCTCGGTTGCCGTCTCGCCAGCGACTCGCCGGCCAGCCGACCACATCTCCAACAACCCAAGGACTCATTAATAATCCTATGACATCTAAAGTCATTTAGATGCTACTAGGATTCGGGCGATTATGCTCGTATCTAAAAATTACACGGTGTTCGGAAATCGACACGACAAAACTAGGGTTGTAGTTCTCCGAGCAACCTAACTCATTTTAATCTGAAACTTTAACCCTAAGTTTAACATTATTCATAAGGATTTTCTATCCAATAACTTCAGCTAAACCTGAACATATACCATTTCTAAAAATTCACCAAATCAAGGCTAATGTCTCGATTTTTAAACCATATCAATGATCTCCAAAAATCATGAAATTTTAACCACAGCCTCCTCAAAATACATATGATTTTTGGTTAAAATATCACATCAAGATAAGGTCTCTAACTCAATCAACTAAAAATGGCATTATAGATCTAGATCTACAATTTCGGTTCACATAGCAAATGCTCTCCAAAAAAATTCTCAAATTTTAACATCAGCCTCAAGACAATTTTACAAGATTTATGGAGTTGAAACCACGAATTTATCAGATCTATAACTCAAGATATAAAAATCATGCCTTTAAACTCATAAAATCTAGATCTATTCATTCCTCACTCAAATTCATGATTTATCATTTTTAAAATAAACTATAACTGTTTTTTAAGCTAATAGAGTCGGGGTTCAAGCCATTTTACCTCAAAATTAACTCAAACCGAAAAATGGAAGTTGGGAGATGGCTAGTCGAAACCGCTGCTGCTTGGATCTGGCCAACGGAAGGCGTTGGCGTCGGCTGCGCGTGGGTGTGCGGGTTGCGCGCATACGGACGCTGGCGGGAGCTGCAGGTGGATCTGCTGCGGGAGTGCGTACGCGACTGGGGGACGCCGCTTGGGGATGAACGCGCGCGACTGAGCTGGGACAGGGCGTGTGCGTGGACTGCTGAGATTTTTTCTTTGTCATTCTTGAGTTGCTGAGATTATTATTATTGTTCACCATTTCGCGTTGGTGATTTAATTTACACTTTCCGCATTTGCGCATCTGAGCACGACCAGTGTATCAGAGCTCAAGTTGGGCTCTGTATCAACCAGTGTAAATTAAATGGAGGAGAACGTGGGTACCATGGTGAAGCTGACAGCAACAAATTACTCCATTTGGAAGCCAAAAATGGAGGACATACTTTTCTACAAAGATCTGTATGATCTTGTAGAAAAGGAAGACAACAAGCCAGATGATGTGAAAAATGACGATTGGAAAAAATTACATAGAAAGACTGTCAGTTTAATCAGACAGTGGGTGGATATCAGCATATTCCACCATGTTGCCACAGGGTCGAAAGCCCATACTCTGTGGAACAAAATCGAGCAGATGTATCAATGGAAGACTGCACAAAATAAAGCTTTTGTTATTAGAAAGCTTGTGAATATAAAATATCGGGATGGAAGATCAGTTGCAGAAAACTTGAATGAGTTTCAAGACATGGTAAACCAACTTGTTACCATGGAGATGAAACTTGATGAAGAACTGCAGGCGTTGTTATTTTTGAGTTCTTTACCGGATAGCTGGGAACTCTGGTGGTCTCGTTGAGCAACTCTGCCCCTGAAGGAAAACTGACTTTGACACAAGTCAAAGACAGTATGTTTAATGAAGAAACAAGAAGAAAAGATTCCGGGGCAAACAACTCCCAAGCCCGGGTCACAGAAACCAGGGGGAGAAGTAAAAGCAGAGGCTGGAATAACAAATCCAGAAATAAATCACAATCTCAACCCAGAAGAAAATTCAAGTGTTATCACTGTGGTGAAGAAGGGCATATCAAAAGAAATTGTAAAGCCTGGAAGAACAGAGATCGGAGGAACAACAAATCAGAGAACGATGAAAATACCGCAACCCTGTGATTCATAGGGAAGTGGTGTTTCTCTCTGTTGAAGAAGAAGAGTGCCATGTTGCAGATTCATGTGTTGAATGGGTCATTGGCTCAGTAGCATCATACCATGCAATCTCTCACAAGAAATTCTTTTCTCTATACAAAGAAGGAGACTTTGGTAGAGTAAAGATGGGCAACGACAGCATTACAAATTTGTGGGAGTTGGTGATGTGTGCATTCAAACTGATATTGGGTGCACAATAACACTGAAGGACGTACGACATGTACCTGATTTACGTCTGAATCTGATCTCTGTGCATGCATTAGATCTAGCAGGCTGTACTAATAATTTTGGTAGCGGCACGTGGAGGCTTACCAAAGGATCATTGTTAGCTGCTAGAGGTACAGTGAGATCGACGTTGTACAAAACTCAAGTGAAGCTGATCAAGGGTGGATTGAATGCAGTTGAAGATGATGCTTCGCCAAATTTGTGGCACAAAAGACTGGCTCATATTGGTGAAAAAGGATTGCAGATTTTGGCAAGAAATTCCCTCATTCCGTTTGCCAAAGATTCAAAACTAAATCCTTGTGATTATTGTCTCTTTGGGAAGCATCATAGAGTGTCTTTCAGCAAAATCTCAAAGCTGAAAGAGAATGTGTTGGAGATGGTGTATTCTGATGTATGTGGACCCATGGAAGAGGAGAGTCTCGGTGGTAGCAAATATTTCGTGATGTTTATTGATGATGCTTCACGAAAATTGTGGGTGTATTTCTTGAGAATGAAGGACGAAGTTTTTCAGTACTTCAAAAGGTTTCATGCTATGGTGGAAAGACAGACTGGTAAACCTTTGAAGTGTCTTCGTTCAGATAATGGAGGAGAATATACTTCCCATGAATTCAAGAATTATTGTGCTGATCATGGAATCAGACATGAGAAGACTGTACCTGGAACCCCACAGCATAATGGTGTGGCTAAAAGAATCAATAGAACCATTATGGAGAAAGTGAGGTGCATATTAAGAATGGCTAAGCTACCTAAGCCATTCTGGGGTGAAGCTGTTCTAACGGCGTGCTACCTGATCAACCGATCTCCATCTGTTTCTTTGGGCTTTGATATCCCTGAGAGAGTATGGTCCGGACATGATGTTAAATACTCTCATTTGAAGGTGTTTGGATGCAAAGCTTTTGCTCACGTAAGCAAGAAACAAAGACGAAAACTTGAAGATAGAGTCATTCCTTGTATATTTCTGGGCTATGGAGATGAGGAATTTGGCTACAGGTTATGAGATCCAAAAAAATTGAAAATTGTCAGAAGCAGAGAAACTATGTCTGATTCTGCTTCACCAGAAACTAGAGAACCAGGTGGTAAGGCGGATTTGTCACCTGTAGAACCTCCTAGAGATGCCACAGTAGGGGGAGAGTGTGATGGAGAACTCAGGGTTGATGATGAACCAGCAATTGAAGATGGTGATGGTGAAGGTGTCGAGCAAGAAGACCTCGAAGCTCCGCCTCAGCTCAAGAGATCAAATCGAGCAATCCAACCATCTACGAGGTACCCTAGTTCCACTTACATTACCATCACGGAAGAAGGAGAGCTAGAGAACTTTGAAGAAGTTCAGACTCATAAGGATAGATCTCAGTGGATGAAAACCATGCAAGAAGAAATGGATTCACTGGTGAAAAATGAAACTTATGAGCTTGTTAAGCTTTCAAAAGGCAGAAAAGCCTTGAAAAATAAATGGGTGTTCAAGCTTAAGAAAGATGGTGACAAGCTGTTAAAGTATAAAGCTAGCTTAGTCGTGAAAGGATTTGGACAAAAGCGAGGAATAGATTTCGATGAAATCTTCTCACCAGTTGCAAAAATGAACTCTATTCGAGTAATACTCGGATTGGTGGCTAGCTTGGATCTGGAGCTTGAACAACTAGATGTGAAGATTGCATTTCTTCATGGAGATCTAGATGAAGAAATCTACATGGGGCAACCAGAAGGATTTGAGAAGATTGGAAAGGAGCACATGGTTTGCAGATTAAAGAAGAGCTTGTATGGACTGAAACAAGCTCCAAGACAGTGGTACAAGAAATTTGATTCGTTTATGGCGAGCCATGGATATACCAAGACTGATGCAGATCATTGTGTATTCGTTAAGAAATTTCCAAGTGATAAATTCATTATTCTTTTGTTATATATAGATGATATGTTGATAGTGGGACATGATATGAAACTGATTGGTGATCTGAAGAAAGAATTGTCAAAGTCCTTTGATATGAAGGATCTGGGCCTGCAAAACAAATTTTGGGCATGCAGATCATGAGAGACCAAAAATCTAAGATGTTATGGTTATCGCAAGAACAGTATGTGAATCGGATCCTAGAGAGATTCAACATGAAATCGGCTAAGCCGGTCAATATACCGTTGGCCAATCACTTCAAGCTCAGCAAACGAAATTGTCCTAGGAGCCAAGAAGAAAAAGAAGCTATGGCGGTCGTTCCATACTCCTCCACAGTCGGGAGTTTGATGTATGCCATGGTTTGTACTAGACCAGATATCGCTCACGCGGTTGGAGTAGTTTGCAGGTATCTTTCCAATCCTGGGAAGAATCATTGGGAAGCTGTGAAGTGGATCTTGAGGTACCTAAAAGGTAGTGCAAATAAATGCTTGAGCTTCGGCAAAGGAAACCCAGTTCTTGAGGGTTATACAGACGCGGATATGGCAGGTGACCTGGATAGTAGAAAATCTACTTCAGGGCTTGTGTTTACATTTGCAGGAGGAGCTGTATCTTGGTAATCTAAATTGCAGAAATCTGTTGTCTTGTCGACTACTGAAGCCGAGTATATTGCACTGACAGAAGCAGGAAAAGAAATGCTTTGGTTGAAGAGGTTTCTTCAACAATTGGGAATGAAGCAGTACGATATCCATTGCGATAGTCGGAGCGCATTAGATTTAAGTAAGAATGCAATGTACCACCCTCTCACGGAAGAACAACAATTCAAGTTGGAAAAGATTCACACTGACGAAAACCCTGCTGATATGATGACGAAAGTTGTAACAGGGGGAAAGCTTCAACATTGTACCGAGTTAATCGGCATGGTTTGCATGTGAAGATTTGCAGAATATTTCCCTTCGGCTGGAGGGGGAGAATTATCAGCATCCAGCCGAAATTGAGGACGGCTCATTAATGGGCATTAAATGTTTCATTAATTGAGTCGAAATTAATGGCTGCTGTGGGTGGTAAACTTTGACATTTGGGCAGCAACAAATTAAATGCATGTTAATCTGTAAGCATTTTGGATGATTTGTACTGCAAAATTTCCTCTATAAATAGAGAGCATCGGGCAAATCAAAAGGATACCACATGTACTTCCCCCTCTATAAATAGAGGGAACATTCAACAGAACAAATGCACCAAGCGAGAAGAAAAAAGAGAGAGCAAGAGAACAAGAAAAATATTTCTTGTAAGTGTTATTTTTCAATGAGAGAAAAATAGAGTGTTTGAGTAAATTCTGTGAGTGTGGGAAAAATACACCGGGTCGGGTATCATCTATATTACTCCTTGTTTGTAATATTTGAATAGGAGTGGGGTCTCACTGGGTCACTATATTTTACATTTCTAGTGTAGGGGAGTGTGAAAATATATTGTAATTATCTTGAAAATATAGTGGAATTGTTCGGAGGTTGTCCCGTGGTTTTTTCCTCTAAATTGGAGGTATTTTCCACGTTAAATCTTGGTGTCATTTTTCTTGCATATTTTATTTATTTGGGATATTCTTAGTATGCTCTGTGGTCGCAGTTTAATCTGATCTTCCACATCAGAAAAAAATTATTCATGTTTTATTGCAAGGGATTTTCTTTTTTCTTGAGTTGCTGAGATTATTATTATTGTTCACCATTTAACGTTGGTGATTTAATTTACACTTTCCGCATTTACGCATCTGAGCCCAACAAGCAACATGTTTATAGCTGGAAGGAGGTCTTTATAATGTGATCAACAAAGAAGCGTCAACCCTTAAGGCAATCGGGTGGAGTTTGCAAAAACTGATCAAAATAGGTGAAAATTTCTTGTGCTGTTGTGTGGAATCTACTGCCATGGTTCAATTGTTGAATTCTAGGAATCCACCCCATTCTGCAGTTGCCGCTATATTTGATGATATCTTCGTATTAATGAATTGTTTTAGTTCTTGTTGTTTCCTTGTGGACTTACGTTCTTGTAATTTTTCTTTCTTGTTAGCCAAGAAGACTTTGAAGAAGAAATATGATTTATTCCCCCGTTCTTCTGTTTTTATAACCTCTTTAGGTTACGTTTCTGTTATGTAATCAGTTGGTTGCACGTTTATTGTACATTTCGGTATGAATTTTTATAAATTGGTTTGTTTGTTGTTTGGCCAAAAAAAAAAAAAAAATCTACATTTTGGTAATACCAATTTTATGGTTCAAGAACCACCCGTTTGTGTGTCAAAATAGACAGCATAAGACATCCTTCACCCGACCACATTTGTAAATTTTAGATTCAATTTAGAAGGATCTATACTTTTTGTGTCTCAAGATTACTAAATTTATTCATTGTACATCCTAAGCATCTAGTTTTCAAACGACCAGTAATCTCCTCTAATATCTTTAGGTGATATCTTTTCAGAAACACCAATTAGTCGATGACCATGCCGTCTCTTTCCGGCCATTATTACCGGAAAACACACCAAGGATGTAGATACATATTAACAGTTAACAGTGACATACACCACCTCACACAGCAGCGAAAGAAAGGTGAGAGAGAGAGAGAGAGAGAGAGAGAAAACGATAATGTTAAAACTGCTAAAACCTGAAATTGGAATGTTCGTTGGATACAGACTTAAAACGTGAAGATACTCGAGGAGTGAGTAGCCCTAAAGAAAACGAATAAAAAAGAGATCGTGTAATAATTGCCTTAAGGTTGAGTAAAAATAGGCGGTTAAATTTGAAGGTCCTGCAGGAAAAATTGACATTACAGCTGCATTTATGATGATACAGATGGTTTGACACAAATTGCAGTTTATAAAAAGTATAGCGCAACCAACACAAAAGGACTGCTTGTTGTCATAG